TCATCACTGGCCTCGGTCCTCATTGGCGCTCCACCCGAGCTATACTCCGAGCTCACGGGAAGATCTCCGAAGCGGCACTCTGCGCCGGAATTCACGCTGAACAGCAGGACATGGACCTACACGAAGAACGACACAAGAAAAGGGTGCTACACTCAACGGCGCTACAACAACAACAACAATCGACAGAACAAACATCAGGCTCAACAGTACGTACCGTCGTTCTGCCATCTCTACAAGACGTCAGGACACCCTCGCACACACTGCCCAAATCAGCAGCAGTCAACGCCACCGCAACGTCAACTTCGGCCTTCAAGTAGTCAAGTCACCTCTACACAAGCGCATCCCACCAGTCAAGTATAGTCCTCAACGACATCAAAACATGCACAAGGCGCACGAAACATCGTAAGCTGCATGGCAAGAACAACAGACTCCTGCATCACCGGATGACCACCATACTACTCACCAGAAGAACAGCTCGACGAAAGCATCCCTCGCCGCGAATCACTGGAGCCCAACCCGACGTACGCAGCCATCGCCCAGATCAAACCGTCCGGGAAAGACACCTGGTTCTCGGACAGTTGCTGCGGACAGCACATGTGCTCCTCGGGTCGCTTCGTTCAACGGGAACACCAACTGCAGCGTGAAGTCGTCATCACCGTCGCCAACAATCAGAACCTGCGCACACGACGACAAGGCATCATTCAACTTCAGTCAAGGGAGACCAATGTCGTACTACAAATGTCGAAGGTTTTAATCGCCGAGGGACTCGGGTACAACTTACTCAGCGTCAGACAACTGATGGCGAAGAGTATTCACCTCGAAGCAGACAGCACCACTTAGGAGTTCAAACTGTACCACGGAAGAGGCGGACTATACATCGGAAAGGCAGTACTGAAGAACAACGTCTTCGTCCTCGACTTTGTTCCAGATCAAGGCACCGCCGACAGCGACGCCATCGTCAACTTCACCTCTTGGACACACCCGCCAGATCTCGACCCCGACTTCAGTCCTGGAGGCTTCTGGTACTCACACACCATACCTGAAGCAGAACGAACGAGAGCGTTAGTGACAATTCAACAAACATCGGCAGCAGCAGAGACAACATCGGCAGCAGCAGAGACAACATCGGCAGCAGCAGAGACAACATCGTCAGCAGCAGAGCCAACATCGGTAGCAGCAGAGTCAACATCAGCAGCAGCAAAGACACCACAAGCACCAATCGCTGGTCCTTCAACAGCACCGGCCTTCATCGACGACACACCACCGACTCCTGCGCAACAGCTGACTCCCACTCCACGAGAAGTCCACAGAAGCACAATCTTCACCGCAGGTTTTTATTCCAACTCTGACCTGTACAGGCGATCACCTGGACATCGTGCTGGTGAAGACAGCTGGCATGCAAGGATGGGACACCCGAGCAACACAACGTTAAACAACACGATAAGAGCAGGAGTACTTGACGAAGACTCGCTACTCCTACCCGACGGCAGAGAACTTCAACGAGTTCGAAGAACGTGCTTTACCTGCCCTGAAGCCGACTTACCTCATCAGCCGTTCGTCTCTCACCACAACCCAAGCGCGCCGACATACGCACCACTGGAAAAGGTCTACAGCGAGATACTACTCAACCGTGAAAATGGACAAGGAGCGTACAACTACGTCATCACGTTCATCGACGCCGCCACCCGTTACGTCTGGCACCTCAACCTTCCGAGCCGCGACATGCCCTTCGAAGCTTTCGTCGCCTGGCTTCCAGTAGCAGAACGAGAATCAGGAATGAAGCTGAAGAGCTTCCAGTCAGACTGGGGCGGAGAATATCAGTCACAGAGGTTCAAGCGACTCATCTCTCTTCCCTACGCTCATCAACAGCAAGGCGTGGCAGAAAGAATGAACAGGACCCTCCAGAACACCATGCGCAAGCTGCTACGTGGCATGCGGCTACCCAACCACCAGTGGCCCGAGGCGATGGACCACGCTGTCATGCTGCACAACTTGCTCTCGTCATCATCGCTCCCGAACAACGCATCACCACATTTGATGTGGACAGGAAAATTGGGCAACACAAAAATGTTGGGCATGGTACAGTACCGACCCCCAGCTGCACGCGCCGGTCGATTTTCCCAACGCGCACAATGGGGACTACACCTGGGCATTGAAAAACACTACAACGCGTGGAAGATTTTCGACGTCCACACAAAGGAAACAGCGGCAGCACGTGACGTGATCTTCTACGAACGGCTCACACTTCCAACGTACCTGTACAACTTGGAAACTTCACGCGACGTCACAGGCGGATTTCGTGGGGACCGAGCCTTCGCCTCAGCAGCAGATGAAGCTGACTTGGACGAGCAGAACGTGGACAGAGCTTCGGAAGAAGCCGGACCTCTTCCCTACTGCTCGGTGGACATTCCAATGGACGACGATAACCCTCGCGAAAGCATCAACGCCGAAGTCTTCTACGACTTCGCTGACAACGGTTACGTTACTCCCGCACGAGTCAACACCGACGAAGCAGAACGTGTAGGACCAAATTTCATACCTGATCCAGAAGCGGGAGACGAAGCAGTTTATCCCGAGGACACAACTCTCCCCCGATACACACAGAGCGGACTGCAGATCCTTGGACTCGTCACCGCCGTTCACGGAGCAGCGCCACCAAAGGAGCCTGCCACAGTTCAGCAGGCTCTGGGGGGGGAGCACAAGGAAAAATGGCGCGAGGCCATGGACAGGGAATTAAAGGCGCTGGAAGAACGCAACACTTGGAAGGTCGTACCCATCGGAGTGGCACACAATAAGACAATTCTCACCGGGAAATGGGTTTTCCGAGTGAAAACAAAGGCAGATGGAACCATCGACAAGTTTAAATTGCGCTGGGTCGTACGTGGCTTCGACCAAGAGCAAGGACGAGACTTCACCGAAACATTCGCGCCGGTCAGCCGACACACCTCTGCGGATTCTCCTCGCGATAGCCGCCATGAAGCGGAAGAAACTTCGTCAAATCGACGTGGCTAACGCCTTTCTCTACGCACCTGTCGATGCTGAGATCTTCGTCGAGCAACCACACGGCTCCAACGCAGACCCCAACCAAGTCTGCCAGCTACTAAATTCCCTGTACGGTATCAAGCAAGCTCCGAGGCTGTGGCAGCAGTACCTACACGCCCGGCTCATCCGCATCGGCTTCAAGCAACTGCCGCACGACCAAGGCATGTACCGACTCACGAAAGGCACCGACTACATCCTGCTCATCGTCTACGTGGACGATCTACTCTACATCGGCTCGACCGACGGCATCACAACCTGGTTCGAAGGGGAGCTGCAGCAGGATCTCACACTCACCGTCTCCTCCACCGTAACACAGTATCTCGGACTCAACATACAGGAAGGAAAGAACGCGATCTACCTCAGCGCCGCGAAATACGCCGACACCATCGCCAAGCGCTTCGGACTTACCCCAGCTACTATCTCCACGCCCTACCGCTACACCGACGGAAGTCACAAGGAAACCTCTGCTCTGCTCAAACCCGCCGGCATTCGCGACTACCAACGAAAGCTAGGCTGTCTGCTCTTCGCAGCCGTTACCTGCTGACCGGACCTATCGTACTCAGCGAGCCAACTCGCCACCTACCTCAAGAAACCCTAAGCAGATCATATGGCGGAGCTCGACCGTGCTCTTCACTATCCCGTCAGCACTCCAACAGTCGGGCTAACCTACCACAAAACCGGAACCACGGCACCCAAGCTAATCGGCTACGTAGATGCTGATCACGCTGGCGACTCCGACAACAGACGATCGCGCACCGGCTACATCTACCGACTCGAGTCTATCGGACCCATCTCGTGGCAGTCGAGCAAACAGGAACTAATCGCCCTCTCCTCTGCTGAAGCAGAATATATCGCACTCTGCTCAGCCACCAAGGAAGGTTTGTACCTTCGCGAACTACTAGAAGAAGCGAAGCTGGCTCAGTTACCCAGCTTCTCCTCGTTCTGCGACAACCAATCGGCCATTCGCATAGCGAACAAAAACGGGTTCGCGAATCGAACGAAGCACATCGCCCTTCGATATTTCTTCGTGAAGGACAAGATCGAGAAGGGGAGACTCGAACTGTCCTACTGTCCCACATCCGAAATGGCAGCTGATTACTTGACCAAGAAACTCGGAAAGCAGAAGTTTGAATACTGCATGCTGCTGACTGGACAAGGCCACGTCACCAGCGAGGACACTCCACAAGCGAAGGGGAGTGTTGGAAACAATTAATTAACGCTTCTGTTGTGTCGAAACACGGAACTACAAACGAGATGAACTACAGCGAAGCAGCGGCGAGTCAACTGAGGAGGTTGACAGAAAACATCAGCTTGAGGTTACGCGAATGTCAAAGGTCGCCGACCCTTGACTTGACAAAAGGACAGCACGGCAGCAAGGACACACAACTGACTCGTCATTGAGTAGTTGCCCGAGCCGTCGCTATATCGAACCGCAACAACTACAGCAACAGTTATCTGCATCCTTTCATATCCCTTGTAATTATATAAAAGCCCTGTATTACTTTGCTATAATCAATCTCTTGCTCTCACACACCAGTGCAAGGTGGTTCAATAGTTCACTAAAGAACGCTTCCGCTATTACAACATTCCTACACAGGGTCTTAGCCTTGAAACGATCCTAAGGGCTTTTTCTCAGCCCAACATGGGGCAGGGCAGGACGACCCAACCCAGGTGAGTGGGTGGATGAGCTGGCGTGCAAGGGTGGCAGGTAGAAGGCCTGGCGGAGAGCAAAGTGCACAAGGAGAACGGGTGGATGGTCCATGGCTGCTGCACAAGGATTAGAACTTGAGTAGTGACTACAAACCTTCTCTTTACTCAAAATTTACTATGGTGAGATTGGATTGAATTCAAAAAGTGAGGAAGGTATTTCAGGGTAGTGGTAAGAGCAGGTCATGTTTGCACAAGATCGTGGTAGCACAAGCTCTTGTAAACCTTGTTCCTCTTCATCAGGAAGGCCTCTATACTGTTTCTCTCGCAGCTTCCACTGCCTCGTCAGCCTGCAATGTGAGGATGGGGGTGAGCGAGGGGTGAGTGAGGGAGAGTACGGATGAGTGAGGGAGAGTACGGATGAGTGAGGGAGGTTGAGTGAGAAAACCAGGAGAGTGAGGGACGATGGAAGACGTTCGAGGGAGGATGGGGGTGAGGGAGAGGAGGTTAAAGAGAAGTGAGGGGCGATGAGACGAGCGAAGAGTATTGAGAGATGGTGTGGTAGGAGCACATGGGCAATAACATGCAGGTGGGACAAGAGATGAGTACAACACTTTCACAGTTAATTGCTGAAGGGACAACGATAGAAGCACAAGGGAGAATAAAGGGGTTGATGCTGGGGGGTACGGAACCAAATGCAGTGCCAGGCATGCCCCTGGAAGAAAACGAGGCATACTCTGGCTTGTAGAGAGAAGAAAATTGGGGTGACTAGAAAGGGGGCAGAAAGGGAAGGTAAGGGGAAGTGGAGGAGGAGGAGAGGGGGAGGGGAAGGGGTGATCTGGACGAAAACACCCTCAATTCCCTGCCCACCAGCAACCCCCGGGAGGGAGGAGTCGCTCCCAGCCCCATAGAGAAAACTGGGAGGAGGTAGAGGTTAGGGGACTCAGGGAAGGGAGATTCCCCCTTACACCCGTCACCCGCACGCACCCTGGGGGGCACAAGTGCGTGGGCACTTGTGTGGTCTTCCCCGACCCCGTCTCGCCACACACCAGGCTGGCACGGCTGCCCCCCATGTACAACTCCCCCCCACCGCGCACCTGCCCATCGCACGCACCTGCCCTTCCCCCCCCAATGCACGCACCACCGGCCCTCTCCCCACCTGCTCGAACGCCTCTTGGCTCTCTGCTGCCTGCTGCTGCTCCCCACCCTCCGCCCTCATGACGTCATCCCTGGCATTCTCCTCCTTCCTGGCACATTTGTCCTCACTTCAGTTCGCCCAGCAACTCCCAGCTCTCCACCATTCTCATGTCCCCCACCTCCCCACCTTGTTGCTCCTCTTCCTTCTCTCCCTCCTCACCACCATCCTCTCCCTCCTCTCTACTTTCTTCCTCTCTGCTCTCCTCCTCCCCAACGCTCTCCCTGTTCGCGCCCCCCTCCTCCCTTTCGCCATTTATTTATTTCATCTGTGACCATCTCCCCCTCGCCCTCCCCCACCCCCACACTCTCCTCTCCCCTCCCTCGCCTGCACCTCCCCTCCTCCCCTCTCCTCCTTTCTCTAAAATCTCCCACCTCCATCTCTTCCCCCTCACCCTCCCCACTCCTCGCCCCCTCCCCCTCTCATCTCTCCGTGCCAACACACCCTCAACTTTCTCCTCCTCACTCTCCTCCTTCTCACCCCTCTTCGCTCCCTCCTCGCTCCCCTCCTTGCTCCTCTACTCTCAGCCGAGCCTGCAGGTCAACCGGGGGGGTCAGCCCTGCTTGTACAAACGCCATGGCACATTGCACCTTCTGCTTGCTGCTGTCACCCTGAGGAGGGTGGAGCGGGGGGGGGGGGGGGGGGGGGGGGGGGGGGGTGGGGTGGGCGGGGGGGAGGAGATGACAAAGTATTTTTGAGAATTCTCAGAATTCACCAGCGGGGGAGTCGGCCCCTGTTGTACAAACGCCTTGGGACGCTGCACCTTGTGCTTGATGCTGCCAGTCTGGAGGTAGTTGGGGGCGGATAGGGTAGGCAGGCAGGGGGAGGGGGGGTAATGGGAAGGAGTGGGGTGAGGTAGGGGGAGAGGGGTGGCGGGTGGACCTGCCCTGGTTCACACACGCCATGCACGGGCGGACCTGCCCTGGTTCACACACGCCATGCACGGGCGGACCTGCCCTGGTTCACACACGCCATGCACGGGCGGACCTGCCCTGGTTCACACACGCCATGCACACCGTACCTTGTGCATGCTGCTGCCACTCTGGCGAGCGGCAGAGGGGGTCGGGCAATGGGGGGACAGAGGAGCTGAAGGGTGGCCGGTAGGGTGGATAGAGAGGGGGAGGCAGGCGGGGGAAAGTGGGCAGGAGAGAGGCGGGAAGAGAGGGTGAGGTGGGCAGGAAGGGGAGAAGGTGACGGAAAGATGGGGTCGGCTGGGAGGAGAAGAGGGAGTGAACACAAAAAGCAGAGAGGTGTGGGAGCGAGGGCAAACTTGCACCCACGCACACACGCAAACCTGCTGCTTCCTCAGCTGCAAGAGCGCTCCTCTCGCATCACATCCTGTCCACTCCGCCCTCACACCTCCTGCATCTCACGCGGGCAGCAAAGGTGGCGGCTCGCCCGACGCGGCGGAGGGCAGCGCCGCGACAGTCCCCCCTCCCCACTGCGCCCTCCCCACCTTCCCCCTCCCCACTGCGCCCTCCCCACCTTCCCCCTCCCCACTGCGCCCTCCCCACCTTGCCCCCTCCCCACTGCGCCCTCCCCTCCCCACCTTCCCCCCTCCCCACTGCGCCCTCCCCTCCCCACCTCCCTCCTCCCCACTGCGCCCTCCCCACCCCACCTTCCTCCCTCCCCACTGCGCCCTCCCCACCCCACCTTCCTCCCTCCCCACTGCGCCCTCCTCACCCCACCTTCCTCCCTCCCCACTGCGCCCTCCCCACCCCACCTTCCTCCCTCCCCACTGCGCCCTCCCCTCCCCACCTTCCCCCCTCCCCACTGCGCCCTCCTCACCCCACCTTCCTCCCTCCCCACTGCGCCCTCCCCACCCCACCTTCCTCCCTCCCCACTGCGCCCTCCCCTCCCCACCTTCCCCCCTCCCCACTGCGCCCTCCCCTCCCCACCTTCCTCCCTCCCCACCGCGCCCTGCCCTCCCCACTGCGCCCTCCCCACCTTCCCCCCTCCCCACTGCGCCCTCCCCTCCCCACTGCGCCCTCCCCTCCCCACCTTCCCCCTCCCCACTGCGCCCTCCCCTCCCCACCTTCCTCCCTCCCCACTGCGCCCTCCCCTCCCCACCTTCCCCCTCCCCACTGCGCCCTCCCCTCCCCACCTTCCCCCCTCCCCACTGCGCCCTCCCCTCCCCACCTTCCCCCCTCCCCACTGCGCCCTCCCCTCCCCACCTTCCCCCCTCCCCACTGCGCCCTGCCCTCCTCGTCCGTGGCGACGGAGGGTAGCGCCGCACGTACCTCCGTGCGAATGAATCAGGCAGCACGCGAGCATGGCGCCCGCGCCTCGTCCATGGCGGAGGAGGGCAGCGCCGCCGCCCACCACCGTCGCCGCCGGTTGAGGCACCTTGAAAGACGCGAGCACCTCCGCCGGCAAGGACGAGGCGCAGAAGGAGAGCGCGAGAGAGGATGTTCGGATCGTGGCGATTCTAACTCCATCGCGGCTCGCGCTCTTGCTCCTGACTCCATCGCGAGGGCCCTCCCACTCCCCTGCTCGCGCATTCACCCTCTCGCGCCGGCTACTGAAGAAGCGGCGTCGCTTCCCACTACTTCGCGCCCTTCACGCCCTTCGTGCCTGCCTTCCTGCCTGCCTGGGAAGATGAGGGGAGAGCGGGGGAGATGAGGGGAGAGCGGGGGAGATGAGGGGAGAGCGGGGGAGATGAGGGGAAAAGGAAGGGGGAGGGCGGGCGGGGAGGACTAGGGCGAAGCGGATTGGGGAATAGAAGCAGGCCGCGTGAGAGGATCCGTGGGAGAGGTGATAAGCAGGGTTGTGCGGACAGAGGGGCGGGCACGGGGGTGAAGGCGAGGGGCCGGAAGGGAAATTATGGGAGGAAGGGGGCGAGGGAAGAGCGGGAGACGGCTAGGCGAGCGATCCTGACATGCTCCTATGGAAGCACTGCTTGCGCGCGTTGGCTTATAAGCAAAACCCCCCAGGCAGGCAGGACGCTCGAGGAGGGGAGAGGGGACGAAGGGAGAAAGGGCGGTAACAGAAGGTCGAGACGGAGGGGTGACGAGACTGGGGGTTGGCGAGGGCGAGGGCGGGAAAGGGACGGGAAGGTGGCTGGTATCCGTTGACCCAACAAGCACCCGAGGCGAGCCGCGCTCGCCCCAGTCCCTTCACAGCTGGGGCAGGGCAGAGCGCCGCGTGGGGCGGATGAGCGCATCACGCGGACGTGCGTAGGTGGGGAGGCTCCAGCACAACTCACTCGCGGCTCGCGGGGAGAGCAGGAAAGGCAGCAGACAGCTCGGGGAGTCGGTACTACGTTTGGCGAGGCGACAGCGCCAAGCTATCTCGCGTTTCTCGCCTCACATCTAATCATGCATCGCCGCCTGTGAGCATGTATCGAGTGCACCTCGCGGGTTGCGGCATCATCAGCGCGCGCGCGCGAGATTCACTTGCGGGGTGCGCGCGGAGCCTTCAAAGAAGCCGAACGGCGACGACGTCGCGGAACGCGGGGAGTACACCGGCCTCCATGCGCCTTCGAGTATACGCGCCGCGGAGTCGCCATGGACGCACGAGCCGAGGCTTGGGTGCACGGATGGTGATGTTGCACGTAAGGACCTCGCCTGGGGGGGTTTTCGAAGGTTTTCGAAGTTAGGAAGTTTGAGTCAGTATCTACTGGGTCACACCCAACCAAAGTTAGGAAGTTTGAGGCAGTTCACGGACTGTCAGCGTGAGCGACGGCGTGGAGTGAAGACGCACCATGTGTTATGAATGAACTTGCAGAGTGCGCAGAATATCGAATAACGAGAATGGAAATTACAGAGTGAAGGAACAATGAAGTAGCGAGGCCTAAATAGGGGAAAACCTAGCTAGGCGGGGGTTTCGGGATGGGATGGCTCGGTGATGGTTGCGATTGGAGCGGAGGCCGACTCGGGGGTGGTTCGGTGCGACGAAATAGGCCCAGCAGGTTCGTCGCGTGACCCTCGGGATGGCCTCGCTAACGAGTGCCTCAGTAAGGATTTGTAAATCCTTACACTCTCCCACCTTCTAAATAAGGCAGTCCTGTACTGAAACAGGCCCCACACTAGCGAGGATTCCGTAGATCTCCTCTTTAACTGAATCCGACGGCCGAGATGCCTTTGACAATAATTTTGAAAAGGTTGGAATGTAGGCCGTTGATGAAGTCCGATTTCGATCTGACGGTTGACGATGAACAGGCCCAAAATAAAGTAGAAGTTGGAATGTGGGCCGTTGATGAAGCAGATGTAAATCTGACGGTCGAAGACTGACGTGAAAAGAGAGGGAACCTGCTGACGCGAATTCAAACGCGATTGAGCAGGGACCGTTGATCTTGTCGGTGTGATCGCGGTCGTCCGTCGTGCTGACGCAACCTGACAAAGTCAAGAAGAAACTCGAGAAAAACGCCAAGGAAAGAACAGTGCAGCGCACTTTCTCCCCTCCAAGAAAACACACCAAAATGTTTCCCTCAGCTGACGTGGTTGAAGTAATTGCAGTTGTCGTGGGCGGAGGCGAGTTGAACGTTTTGTCGCTTGTAGAGTTGGAAGTCCCGTCCCGAAATCCTCTGGCCGTGGTGTGGCGACAACGTCGTCGATAAAGGCGATTCGTCGCGAATTTACGTACGAGAGATGGCGATAGTCGTTGCAGCAGTAACCAAATCGAATGTCACTCCGGTCGAAATTGTCGAACGCGATCCAGTGTCAGATGATGTCAGCACCTCCAGCGGTTTTGTCCAGACTCGCCGAGCCATTTGTCGTGGTGCGCCGAGGGCTCCTGGGCAGGGATGAAAAATTGCAGCTGTCTCTCCCCCCCTTCTTTAGTTCGTCGTAAGTCGTTCGTACCCCTTGAAAACTTCGTGTAGTTCCCGCGGTGTTGCCTTTCGTAAATGTCGCGCGCGTTTAACCAAATGCCGAATTGTCCTCCGTAGTTGTCGGCGCTCCTCGCCGTAAAACCGGTAAGTCCATCGTAAAACTCCGAAATTGTCGCTCGAACTGTAGCCCCGTAATTCCGCAGTTGCAGTTGCAGTTCTCCTCCGAAATCGTCGGTCGTACTATAGCCGCCCACCCGGTCACCAGCTGTTTCCGTCGGTTCAGAACCCATCGGGGGGCATAATCTGGAAACCGGGGACTAGACCTGGGTATTCCGAGACCGACTTTCACGGATCCTAGAGGCATCAACGCCGTTGACCCCGTTGTCGAAACTGCTCCCGCCGATGAAGTATTAACAAAATAACACGCAAACTCCCACTGACGCTTTGCAGATGTTTACCCATCGCTTGTCGCCGGCAGGTAAAATCCGGAAACTTCGGCTGCTCCCACGCTTACATTGAAGAATTTCCCGCGGTGTACATTTAAACACCAGTGGGTTCTAGTATCCCCGCCGCTGTGTTTCTTGCCAGGCGACGTAAAAGTGACCCTTCAGGCGAAGTCCCCCAACGGCTCAACCGCACTCCAAGAAGTGAAGAAACACCCTCAGCTTCAACTCTTTTTTTGTCTTTTTATTTTTTCGTAGAAAAGTCACCCGAAAATCACGGTTGAGGCAGCAGTCCCGAAGTTATTCTCCGCCGTGTAGCCCCGACGTTTCCGCCGTTTTTCCCTGGTACTCTGATGTTCACCCATCTTCACACCCGTCGGAACCACTTAGCGAATCCCAGGTATCATTGGCAATGTACCGCTCGCCGCGCCTCCATGTAACAATATCAAACCCTTTCGGGGGTCTACCGAATAGACTCCGAAATTCGCGGTAGATTGGTGCACGGGCTCAACCTATCACTCAAGTGATCTGCTGGATCACCCACAACTTTCCCTCCGTCGTCATATTTTTCGTATTCACCCCCCGACAATTTCGCTTCCCGCCGTTCACCCAGCGTCCGCTTTTGTCGGATGGGGTATCGTCGTTGTTGCCCGCGCGAACTCGGCCACGTTGGAGAGGCAAAAACAATCGGAGACGGGGAACCTTAGTTAAAAGGAAACTATCGCCCAACCGTTTTGCAGCCCGCCGTGCCTATCACGCCACAAAGATTCCACAGCTTCCCGGTCTCAGCTTCGCCGCTGCGCCGTCAAATCGTGTAGACGCCCGGTTCCGGAGAAACCTGTAAACTGCACCAATGTTGTCCACGCAGCTCCCCGACTTTTTCGCGTGCCGTTCACCCAGCCCGCTTTTGTCGGAGTAAAACAGTGCCGCGAACTCCACTTTTTTTTTTGTCTTTTCTGTACAGCTGTCGAACGAGCACCAATCCAGGTGCCTTTAACCAGCACAGGGTAGGCACGTGTTCACCCCCGTTATTCGGCCAAGTAAGTTGACTGCATGAGTCAGAACTAAAACTTGGTGGGGATGGTGAGGTTCGGGCGAAGTAGGGCCGCAGATCGATTCCACCGGCTTTTAATCTGCTCCCCGCCACGTTCTTCAACCCCCGCTTAGCCGTTGGGCCGTTTCTTCCCGTGTGTCCCGGCACCTGTACCGACCCCTCCGAAATTGTCGGGCGGTACCTTGGACACCGTTTAACCGTGGGCTGTCAGCAGCTGTCCCCGAAAACAACATCCTTGGTCAGGGGAAAACTGTTCTCGATACTGCCGGCCAGCTTGCAACAACACCAGGCACGCAGTGTCGCCGAGTTGTTTCGAGGTGTACCTGCCTCGATTTCCCTCGTCGCCTGCGTCCCACTTCTTCATAAGTGCGATTTAGCCACCGCGTTTTCCGTTGCAGCCCGTAAGTGTCAGCAAGTATGAAGTCCCGTCTGTCCACGAGCACTCCTGCCGAAATTGCTGATGACGCGCCCGCCAATGCAGTAAAAGCCGCCGCACTTAACAGGTCGGGCGGGACGGCAGTTGACTCCCGCTAAGTCGGGCAGTCTTGTGTCGTCTCTCCTCGCCACCGACATTTCCGGACGCAAACTCCTTTTGCGCCTGGCGAGTTCCCCAGCCGACTTTTCTTCAACAGAAGCTCCGAAAATTTTGCCACAGTGACGCACGTCCCTTGTCGCCAGCTGCCGAGCCACACTCCGTGAGTCACGCGCGCAAAATGACGACGAGCCACCGTTGTCACTTGCCGCATGGGACGAATCCGAAATTGTCGCGCAACTGTTGACTCAGGTCCAACGTCGTCAACTGCCACTCATCGTGACGACTTCCGAAAATTTCGTGCAAGTGCCGACGCAGGTCCGCTGACGCCAGCTGCCTCACAAAATTTCGAAATCGTCGTTAAAACCGCAGCGGAATAGTACTCACGTTTAATGTCGCGACAGCTACAGCTGTCCGTTGCCCGGGGGGAGGGAGGTCACGGTCGATCGCGACCGTCGAAGGCAAGGATCCGGCGGTGCCGAGGAGTGCACGATTAATCCATGGCCGCGAAGAGCAACTAACCCGTTCTCTTGGCCGGCCGAGACAACTCCTGGACCCCATGACATCCTTCCTCGTCCCCCCCCCGAGGAGTATTACACTCTAAAAAGCAGGGTGAGCTAGGAAAGTAGCTCTGATACCAGGTGTTATGAATGAACTT